AAATAGACTCGGAACTTTTGCACTGCTAACAGAACTGCAAGTGCCTCTCTCTCGGTCGCGGAATAGTTTCTTTGTGTTTGATTTAAAGTTCGGCTAAAAAATGCCACGGGCTGCTGATTTTGCGAAAGTACCGCTCCTACCGCATAATCCGAAGCATCCGCTGAAATTTCTAAATTCTCATCCTTTTCAGGAAATTTCAACACAGGGGCTTGCGTTAATGCTTGTTTTAATTTTTCGAAAGCACTATTGGCTTCGGCCGTCCACGAGAATCTTGCCTTTTTTCCTTTTTAATTTTAACAATGGCTTCAGCAATAGCCGCAAAATCTTTTATAAAGGACCTATAATATGAACAAAGTCCTAGAAAAGAAGAGAGCTTCTTTGCCGTGTTTGGAGTCGGATACTTTTGTACAGCGATTATTTTTGATTCGTCTGTCTCGATTCCTTTCTGAGATATTTTGTAACCTAAATATTTTAATTCAGGGGCTGCAAATTTGCACTTTTCGACATTAACTTTTAGACCGGCCTCATTTAATAAAGAAAACACCTGTCTTAAATCCTGTACATGTTGGTCGAGATTATCACTAGTAATAATGATATCGTCTAAATAGATAAATGTGGACTTTCCAAGAACAGGTCTTAACACAATGTCCATGCATCGCTGAAATGTTGCCGGGGCCCCTGAAAGGCCAAACGGCATACGCAAAAATGCATAAGTGCCAGACTTGGTTATAAAAGCAGTCTTAGGCACGTCCTCAGGCCTAACCCCTATTTGAAAATAACCAGTCGTTAAGTCTAAAGTCGTCATAAATTTGGTTGATTTTTATGTTCCTTAGAATTTCTTCAATAATCGGTAACGGATATACCGGATATTTAGTTATGGAGTTTAATTTACGGTAATCAATAGCGAATCTCCACCTTTTTGGATGTGTCAAAGGATAGTCATTATTTTTCTTACATAAAACCACCGGGCTAGCATAACTACTTGAGATGGGCGTTATGATCTTTTTACGTAGCATATCGGTAATATGCCATTCTATAATTTTTTCCTTATTCTTATCATACCGGTATGGTTTTGGCGAACTGGCATTGCAATCTCCGGTGTCAATACTATGGTTAGTAACCTGAGTAAATCCTGGAATATCACTAAATAACGAAGCAAATTCACTTACCACTTGTCGGATTCTTTCTTCTTGCTCGTCATTAGGCAGGTGGTCAAGATTTAACATCGGCGGTTCAGCCTTTTTCTGCACGAACTGGTTTCATCGTCAGCTTAAGGGACGCTTCATTAAAATCCAGCGTTGCTTGTGCCTCTGAAAGAAAGTCTATTCCTAAGATTATATGTGCTTGCAGATTCTTTACTATAAAAAACATCACCTTTACTTGTTCGTCCTTGATACGGAACATATAGCGGTACTTTACCTATACACTTACATCTTTCTCCTTGCGCCGCTAACACTGTCGTATTATCCGAATTATATATGCGGTATTTCCGAAAATACTTCCTAAAAAAATCTTCTGCCACACAGGAACACTGCGCGCCTGTATCCAGGAGTGCGGTGGCTGGGATATTATTCACCAACACTTCAATCTTCGGAAGAGTCAAATTTTTCACCATTACTGTATTTAACTTGTAAGGAAGAGGGGTTTTTTCGTGGCCTTCGGATTTCCGCACCCTCTCGTCAGCAGAAATCCGTTTTAGTTTAAATTATTTTTCATTTCCGTGCTTTCCTTCCTTCTTTTTCCACTGGCCTTGAGACTTTTTTCCTGGATTGCTATTGAACTGTCGACGTTCGCCGGCTGTTTTTGAATGCTCGGGTTTCCTTGCCCACTGATTCGCTTTGCTTCCGTAGCCGTGTGCTTGAGTTTGCTGTAGTCTTGGCGTACCAAATTGGTTTCGCTGTTGATATTGGCGTCTTCTTTCGAATGTCCGCCGTTCTTCTACTTTCAAACTGGATTGCTAGCTCAAATAACTTTTCCAGTGTAGTCGGATTTCTTAATTCAATAAAGTCTTGCACTTGGGGCAGTAACCTCGGCAAAATCACTTGAATTATTTCAGGATCCGGACGGTTTCCATACAAGAGTTTGAAGACGTGAATTTTTCTTAAAATAAAGCTTGAGAGGTTTTTCGATTCTTTGTTGATATATACTGAAAAGTTCCGTTTCTAATTTCGCACGATCCCTTACAACAGGGAAGGCTTTTAGTAGGGCAGTCTTGAAATTTTCGTAAGTATAGGTGGGACTTCCTGCTTGACCCAAGAGACTTCTGCCTATACATTTGAACCAGTTAAGCGCTTGGCCCCTCAAAGCGCTGGTAGCTAAGGTAACTTTTTGAAACTCGTGCACGGGGTAGAGCATGAAGTGGTCATCCAATTTTTCCAAAAAACTGGTTACCGGTGAGTTTCCATTAAATGTTGCTTCTGGTTTCATCGAAGCGCGCATGGTCTGGACGATGTAACCAAATCCTTCCAGGGCGGCAGCTGGCATTTCTGGATTCTGAGCCGTTTCTTCTGCAGGCAGCACAGGTTCTTCTTGAAACTCGGCCATGGTTATTCTTCTTCGTTGGGCGCCACTATCAGGTTCAATGTTTCTTCTTACCTTCTTCGGGAACATGCAAGGACCTGACTCGGAACAGAGAGCTTACTAAAGCTATGTTCACTAATTGTGGGAAGTAGACAGGATACACACAGAAGGGTATACAAAACCCTTTATTTTTCTTTATTTTACAATGAACTTTCCGTACTTCGGAATACAATGACCCGCTACTTGGGGTCTAAACGTAAAATATAAAATAAACTAAACTCTAATTTAACTTTATAATAATAAACGTGGAAGATTGGCCTTATATTAACAGGAAGCGTATGTAGTACAGAGAACTGTGAACACTACAATACGTTTAAATTTATCAAGAGGATTAAAACCTCTGGCCTGGAAGGCAAACCAGCAACTGCGTAAAACTTCTAAGGTAAGCGGCCTGCTTTGACTCACTGCTTTCTCTCTCTCTCTTGGCAAAAAGCCACAACTTAAATACTTGGCGTTCGCCAGACAAACTTTGCATAAAAACCTTAACGCTTATAATTCTGGCCGGAAGTAGAAAATAAGAAGTAATAGTAAAGATTTAAAATAAAATAAACGTTAGTAAAACTTAAGATCCTTACAGCGTTAACTCAAAGGCTTTTGATAATACCGTATATTTTCATCAAAATTTGAGATATGTTAAAACATGCATTTAAAGCTACAATAAATTAAACAACACATATCCACATGCTCAGAATTAAACATTGATTTCGCACACAGAGTTAAAATAAAATACTGGGATTTCCAGCTTCCCCTTTTACCAGTCCACCAGAAAGCAAAAAAGAAATGTTCAGTCCTTACTCAAATAAAATTTTACACCTTAACTGAAAATACTTACATTTAAAACATTCAATTTTATAAACTTAATTTCAGCCCAGCGTTTAACATTTCAGATATTAACTATCTATGAACACAAATTCCAACCTAAAATTTATGCTTCTTAATATAAAAATAAACCAAACGACACCTTTCTTTAAGTTTTATTGAAAAGTGTTCACTGAACAGTTAATTTACAGAAATACTTAAATTAAGCACTTGGTGCACTGGTTTGAAACTTGAAACAAAGGATGCTGATAATATTCGACTCGTATATCACTTATCACACACATCACACAATTCACCGCACTTGAACTGATGATCTTCGGACATTGGCTGTCCCACACACTTCGATCCACTAAATTTTTTTCGGACGCAAGACGATCGTACAAATTTTAAAAATTGCTGATGATACCTGGACACTGACTCTCCCACAATTTGAACCGAAATTCAGAACCTAATGGTCTGTAATATCTGCAAAACACTGAGGATGTTCGGACAATGACTGTCCCACAACTTGAGCGACAATACTGATGATATTCGGACAATGGCTGTCCCACAATCTTGAGATGAATTTTCAGATCTTGACGGTCTATAATTTCTGCATGGATTTTCTTATCTTTACCGCTGCCACCAATTATTTAAAGCTGTAACGTCTGATCACCCGTGATGGACGAAGAGAAAAGAGCAGTTGTCTTTTAAATATTTATTTTAAAACTAAGAATTTCTTGAGTAATCATAAGTAAAATAATCAAAACATTACAGCCCATAATACAAAACAGTGGCCGCTGGATGCGGCTTACGTCGCTAGTGCGACTTCCCTCGAAGTTGTAACTGACAATTAGTTTCTGGACAAACAGGAAGTTCTTCTAATAAGCAAATGTTTGTCAGAGGTGTGCATATCGTTATTCTTTTTGCTTTGGTTTTGCTTAAATAACAATTTGTTTATACCCTGACTCATTTTACTCATATTATACTATATTTTTCTTTAACGCATAGAAAATTGAATGTCTGCATAGATAATTAGCAATTATTTGTGTATCATAAATTCCAACATTTTTTCCCCTTCTTATTTTTAGCTTTAAAAACTTAGAAAATAAATACTAGGTTCGTTAAGTAAACTTGAATTTAAAGATTGAATTTGGAAATATATAATCTAGTCTCTGATAGAATATTGTTTTTTATCCGCTGAATGTTGAAAAGAGTTCTCATATGAATAATTATTATTTTAGATTAAAGATGCTTGTTTATCTGAATCCTTTCAAATATTATTATTGCTATTATAGCATATGATAATGTTTGTTGTCTTTTGGCGGAAGATGCAGGGTTAAAAATATATTTTGCTTTCTGCAGAAGTTGTTTTCAGATTTATAATAACACTTGATAATATTAGTGTTTTAAAAATACAAACACTTCAGTTTTAGAATGAAAGTACAAAATCGTAAGGTTTGGAGTTGTTTGGGCGAAGAATATCATGTTTTTAACTTTCCAGTGCATTAATTTAAAAATCATTTAAGAAATAACTGTTATTGCATTTGCAGTAACATTATGTTATTTCATTAATAAACTGCTCTTTATTGAAATTAAGTATGGAAATTCTTTTTCAGGTGGTTTGGGCTATAAACTTTTTGAACTTCGTAAGTACATCAAGTTATGCTTTACTTTGAATTCTTATAGTGGATAGTAACTGCTAAAAATTAGTAATGAATATTCGGAAATGCTTTGAATCAAACTTCTTGTCAGCGAAAAACATTGTTAATTACGCTACGTAAAAAGGAATAAATATAAAATTAGCTTTTTCACTTTAAAGTAGTTAAAAAACAAAACAGCCACTGCTCAAATTAAGTAGGGCAATTTCCTTTTACTTGTTCCCCCCCCCTTCCAATCAGTTTTTCTTTCCTGTATTCGATCTCTCAGATGCTATGTTTCTTGCTGTTTCGTAAACTTTTTTTAGCCCAAAAGGTTAACCCAGAAGGGCTATTAATTTTGTTTTCGCATTTTGCGTTGAAAACTTTAAATGTCGGTTCGCTTTTCAACTGATGCCACCAAATATAACAGCTCTGTATTATATTTAAAGAAATTAAATAATAAAGAATCTGCATAAATGTATGTCTGTTTCTCGCATTTTGATAAAACGACGGTACTTAGAGCCATCCAGTTTTGAATAACGCACGTTTCCACACGAATATGGGCATATGGAAGCCCAAATTTAGAGTTTTGAACTTTATTTATTATCTATTTCATATTTTGTAAACCTTTAACGGTGTGGTGTGTTTAATTACGGCAAAGCACACTAGGGCTATCTGCCTAAGAGGAGGGATGCCTTCGTGGAGGACTTTCTAAGGGTAAATTGGCTCGTATATACATTATATATGGAGAAAAACCACAAAAACACCCATGCAGCCAGTCCCGTTCGCGGGATTCGAACCTTGGACCGAACTACCAGTGTTCAGCGACTTTAACCGCTCGGCCGCTGGTGGGCCTAAACCTTTAACGAATTTTTGATTAACAAACTCAACGATTTCAAAGTGAGCAAAGGCAACACTGTACGGAAAAAGAAACATATTTTTATCTCCAGGCACGAGACTGTGAACTAGAAATTCTAAGGCTATGCTCATTTTAAAATTGCCCACCAGCGGCCGAGCGGTAAAGTCGCTAAACACTGGTAGTTCGGTCCGAGGTTCGAATCCCGCGAACGGGCTGGCTGCACGGGCGTTTTCGTGGTTTTCCCCTTGTGTAACGTGTATACGAGCCAGTTTCCCTTAGAAAGTCCTCCACGAAGGCATCCCTCCCCTTAGGCAGATAGCCCTCGAGGCTTTGCCATAATTACACACACACACACATTTTAAAATTATTTTATGATATTGCTGCTGAACTGAACTTAATGGTTTAAGTGCGAAGAACATGATATTTAATAAATAAAAATAACTCACAAACAATTTAAAAAAGAAATCTGAAAGATTTCAGATTTTAAATTAAGTCCAAAGAGGCGTTTTTTTAACGTTTTGTGTGTTACCTTCATTTATTAAATATCACTTTCTTTGCACTTAAACCATAAAATTCAGTTCAATAGCAATGTCGCAAAATAATTTTAAAATGAGCATATCTTTAGCAGGTAGGGTACGAACTGCGCGAAATTTGATCTAACATGCCCCCTTCTTATCTAATAAACGAACTGCGCGACTTTTTCCTGTCCCCTCTTTCTAAGAAATTGAATTCCCAAGAAGATTGGGTGCTACAAAAAGTAATTTATCGCCATCAATAGGGCATTTTATTGAGACTGCAAACCTCTGTTTTCGTTTATCAATATTGTAAAAAATTGTGCATGCAAAACAAATATTAATTTAAAATCTGGAGTGTGCTAAAACAAAAAGGAATTTCTTTTGCACTCATTTTTTAAAGTTTTATGATGCTTAAATGAATAATGAGCCAGATCTTTTTTAAAAATTAAAAACTTTATATATATATATCAGTTTTGAATAATGATATTGATAGATTAATGACATACATAAAACTGATACATAATCAACCTATCAAATATCGGATTTGTAGTGCATCTTGAATAAGTTTCTTGTCTAGATAAATGTAAAAAAATCTTATTAGATAGCAGAATGGTTTTAACTTTCAAATTTACCCTTTTAGGTAAACAGTTCTAATTTAATTTAAACAATTCTCTTTATTAAATCTAAAAATTGGATTTCTTAAGTGGCTCTAAATTCACACTAATATTATTGCAATATATTGCCATATTAAGCTTTCCATTTTTAGTCATTAAAGTTATTTTAAGGTTATTTAACTTTATTACAAGTCCATATTTTAATACTAGAAACGTTTAAATATTTATTCTGTTTTCCAGTTACTCTACCTGATGTACTTTGGCATACATTTAATTTCTAATACACATTATTTAATAAATTGATAATTATGAGTGTTTGCAGAATTTTCATAATTACCAAAAAAATTCGAACTCCCTTATATACCTTACCTTGGGATTTTCAGTTCCCTTTTTATCCATTCCTTTTTCACATATTGTTGCACTGTATTCAAGTTTTCATGTATGTAGAATTTATATATTTGTATTGTAGTTATGCCAATTTATGTTTAAATGATAATTTTTATAAATTCTTGCATCATAACTCTAGCTAACAGAAGCTAATTCTAACACCTTGGTAAAGCTTAATCTTCAGCATGCAGCTTATTTTCTAACCTAGTTTCAGGCTGAATTATCTGTAAAATTAATTATTTGAAGTTATTTGTTAACAAAGATGGTCGCTAAATCACGTTAATAATATTTCTAACTGTTGTAATTTATAATGCAACAAGTTCATGTGATTTATAATAGAATTCATTTATAATTTTTTCAGCAGTATTGAAATTAATAACAGATATTGTAATGTTATACATTTAGATTACAATGATTTAAATTGCCATTGCCTTCTTCACTTTTATGCTACATTCCTAATATTTCATAATGGCATACAGAAAAGTTTAACTCATTCACCAAACATGTAAATCTCTAATTCAGCCCACTTTTGTTCTTACTGTGTTTATTCCAGAATTTACTTTTCACGCTTCTTTTCACACTATAATCCTTCAATTTCTGTAGCTATGGTAACTTTGCATACCTCCTGACAAGTAGTTATATTTTTAACCACTTAATTTGAATTCCTGTTGACTATCAGTACATTATTCACTTGTTTCACAAGTGCAAATATTTATTTTATACGCAAATCTACGCAAAATAGCAATAAAACTTCAGTTATGTGGAGATCCTCATCGATTGCTTGTTTTAGACTGAATGAAATTAAGCTTAATGTTACTGTTAATTAGCTTGTTATTAATTTAATTGTACGTTTCTAATTAATTATATGTTAAGATATTTCCAAGTATATTACACAAACTTTTGCATCCCAATTTTTAGTTTTGGGTTCTTCTAGATAAATTTTAGAAATAATAATTTTAAATTATTTACAATTTATACGTCAGTGTTCCAAACGCACAGTAATGTTGTTATATAAGATATTTCTTCCGCCTTCCTAGCGTGCCTTCGTGGTATAGTGGTTCTGCACGCTGGGCCGGTTTCTCCAGAGGTCCGTGGTTCGATTCCCGGCGAAGGCAGTTTGCTCATTTTTCATCTCTTCAGCTTTTCCAATTAATCTAATATCTCTACAGTGGCGCCCGAACTAAAAGGGTGTTTGAATGATGATTCTCCTTATCCAGGATTTGGGTCCCCTAAAAACTCCAGTCGTCCTTTATAAAAGGGGGAGTATATAAGGTATTTCTCCCGCCTTCCTAGCGTGCCTTCGGGGTGTAGTGGTTCTGCACGCTGTGCTGATACTCCAGAGGTCCGTGGTTCGATTCCCGGCGAAGGCAGTTTACTCATTTTTCATCTCTCCTGCTTTTCCAATATACCTAATGTCTCTACAGTTCTAATAGATTTCATGCTGAGATTTGTTAATTTAACTATTAATTTCTGCAAACATTTACATGATTACTTTAATTAACGAAAAATATTTCTAGCACACTTTGATTCTAAATTATCTTTTGCACACAAGTGAACTATATTAAATTTTCTAGTCTAGTTTAGACATTTTGACTATTATTGATATCATTTATAAAAAATATAATTGGTATGCTTTATAATTATTTAATTTATGATATTATTGTAATATTCTTTGCTCTAATATTGTAATTAATGAAAGTGAAAGGTGTTTGTAATGATAATATGTATGTTTACCAATAACTTTTAATTTCTTTTTTCTTTGTTAGCTCTCGCATTTATTACTGTTATTCAAGTAATTAGCCTTCTGGTTAGATATCTTTACTTGTTCTTGTGATTGTGATATGTAATTCTGTTTTTTTTTTTTATCTATGGCTCAATTGCTTCGAAAGTAAATTTAATCCTTGAAAGGGAAAGAATTTGATTCGCGCGTTATACTATAGCAACGGGGGGGGGAGATTTTCTCGGAGTTGGCCCACCCCTTTATAATTCCGTACACAGTTTCCGGGTAAAATCCCCACAGTGTTGCCATTGCTTGCTTCGAAATCATTGAGTTTGTTAATACAAAGTTCGTTAAAGTTTTACAAAGTATGAAATAGATAATAAAACAAATTCCAAATTCGGGGCTTCCAGATGCCCATATTCAGGTGGAAACTTCTGTTATTTCAAAATTTGATGGCTCTAGGTATCGTTGTTTTATCATAGTGCAAGAAATATATACATTTATGCAATTTTCATTTAGTTTTTATTAAGCGGCCACATTTGTGCAACTTGAAAGGAACGTACATTTTAAGGCAACGCAAACAAACATGTCGTCGGGCAAATCCTTTGACTAACTAAAAACGCCCTTTGCTAATCTAAATTTCTTCTTTCCTAAATTTTTATTTCTTTCTTTGTATGATGTTTTTCTTACTTTCTTACTCTTGAAAGATTGGGCGAGATAATTTTAGTCCCATCTCGCTGGCCTAAGCGTTTGAGAAGATGCATCTGCACTTTCCTCTTCGTTTTAGTCTTCTTTCACGAAACATTAATTCCTGAATTAAATCAATTTTCGCAACAAAAAGTTTTGGAAAAAAAAAAAAAAAAAAAGTTAATAGATTAAAATAATTCAAGTTCCATTAGTATATAACGCACAAAGTCCTTTATTTATGGGTTCGTTTTGGCTTTATTAATCCATTAATTATCAATTTATGTAATTAAGTTTTTAATTAATCCACACTCTAATATAGAACGAATGTAGCTTTTTTTTATTAATTAATAATGGTAGTTAACAATACAGATTTTTCTGAAAATATTAGTCTTTTCAGAGGACAGAAATAATGGGACAGTTTTTTTAACTAAAACTGCAGTTAGTTAATTTTAAATATAAAAACTGCTCTGCTTGAATTAAATTTAAATTAAAACGAATTCAACATATTTTCTTCGAAAAATCGAAAGGAAAACAATAATTTTAAATAAACAGAATACCAGAACCATAGCTCTGTTTCTCTCTTTTGCTTAGTTTTTTTCGATTAGCTTAGATCCTGCTTTCTGTTAGTCCTGCTTTGGCTTACCTTCGAATCTCTTTGTCCTTAATCATTTATACAACACACTCTTAGCTCTCATCGAGCTTAATTTTTTTTTTAAGTTTGCCGGGTGTCGAAACATTTAGAAGTAATAGAGTCAGACGAAATTCTGCAGTTTTCCTTTCCGTTTCTTTTTTCTAAATCATAAACAGTAGAAGTGATATTTTTCAAAGCCACTAGAAGAGGAAAGTTTTGTTAACTTTTAGAGTTGTATTTGACTGGTGTGTGGCTCTTTTTTTTTTTTTTTTTAGGTAAGAATAAACTTTTTCCTACCTCCATGCTCCTTCCCATTCTTAGGCCAACGAATCGGTCTTTTTCCCTACGGCGCCAACCCTGCCCCAGTTATGAAGCAGTTAAAGTTATGAAGAGCTTATTCCCTATCATCGGAAGTACTCCAAGCTTACCCTGGAAAAGAAAAGACTCATTTATCTGGCTACAATTCGACCTATTATGTCATATGCTTCCCTCGTCTGAACATATGCCACCAAAAGTGACATAAAAAAAACTGCAAATAGTGCAAAATGGCTGTCTCAGAATAATCACAAATGCTCATGTAAAGAACAAGCGTCTTCACGGAGATCTAAAGCTTGACACTATCGAGGAATTTCTAAGTAAAGTTAATACTTCTTTCTATGACTCTGCTAAGCAGTGCGAACATATGAGCATATTCAATTTATTCCACTATGAAATCTTGCGAAAGTACCGACGCTTAAGACCTTACGCTGCATTTCTCCTTAGTGGAAACCAAGACTTCTCAACTTAAGTAACTTTGAACTACGCCTATCTTCAAAATATTTCTGTAAATAGTTAAGAAATCTGATAAATCATGCTGCAAACTGAGAGGTTAGCACCAGGGAGGGTGACTACCCATGTGACACACTATGCCACCCCCCTAGAATGTAAATATTTATCTGTACCTATTCCTGTATATTTAGACTTGAAAATATTTTAGTCATCGTTAGGATTGCAACCCACTTATTTTAATATTGTTGGTTTGTCTATACTCGAATTATTTTCTGTAAAGTACGATTTTTCAGACTACCGATGCATAGATAACTATTCACCACTCAGATGTCTCAAAGCTCATCACGTGGAAACTGGCCACGCTCCTAGTACCTGATATCCTGCCTCCTGAGACCTACTTTCAGCATTTCCCTACCTGAATCATATCGATATCGGATTCGACCGCTGAGCTCCGAGAGACGAGGTCGGATTTTCTTACTCCTGGTTTTGTCGAGGATTTCGTTATTGCGATAAGGATATTTGAAGTTCAAGAATTGGAGACCTGGTGGATTGGAGCACCTAGGTAAGATCTTTTTGTTTCTTGAGTATGCATTGCCGAGCCAAATCAGCCAGATAACAGCAGATTAGGTTGGAGCCAGCCATGTCAAAAATAGAGATAGATGATTTACGGAAATATCTAGATGAACAGGTTATCCGTAACTTACCGAAGGAAAAGTTTAATGAGATATAATAATCTGACACGGAAAAGATTCAATTAGAAAAATCATGTTTGAAAGCAGAACCGGTTACTGCTAGAATTCAGCGTATTTCACAGCAGTTAAGTGATTTCCAGCTAAGTATACAAGTGCAGGAAACCCCTAAAATTAAGAGGACAAATTCGAAGCCTAAAAAGAAAAACGTGGTCGATGAGAACGGTTTTATTGCCCCTCGTAATACCGTAAAAAGAACGCGATCGGAATCTGAGATAAATGAACCACCTCAAAATAAATTTGCGGATTTACAGGATGATGACAAAATGTATAGTGCAGATACCGAAGGAGAATTTCTTGCCCCCGGAAAGACGGCAAACCATACTCCCCCAATCGTGTTAGATGACTTCAATGGCGACTGGGATAAGATAAAAGAGAAAATAGAGGAAGAATTAAATATTAAAAACTACAAAGGTGAAATGAAAGGAGATACGCTAACCATTCGAGCAAAAACCCCTGATGATTATAGAACGATCACAGGCATGTTCGCAAGTGAGGGAGTCCCCTTCCACACTTTTAAAATTAACTCAGATAGACCGCTAAAAGCAGTGATAAAAAAGTTACCCAGAATGATGAAAGTAGAAGCTATTGAAAACGAGCTGAAAGAGCTAAAAATACCCGTAGAGAAATGAGACAGCTACCAGCTATTGAGAAGACCAGATAGTGAAGCTACTCTCATTTCTAGTTGAAACCAAGAGAAATTATAATGGAAAGAAGATCTGCAATTTAGAAAAACTTCGAGGACTTGATGTTGTAGTCAGACAGTACAAGAAGAAGCCTGGACCTGTGCTGTGTCATAGGTGCCAGCGTTACGGACATTCAAGAGAGCACTGCCATTACAGAGCCCGCTGCATGAAATATGCAGGCTGGCATGAAACGTTTACGTGCAAAACTCTCAAGGAGAAACTACCAGCGCGCTGTGCGCTCTGTGATGAAAGTCAAGTCTCGTCGTACAAGGGATGTGAAAAGTATCCTAAAATCCGAAGAACTGAATCCCAACCCTTAGCGAAAGAGCAGGAAGCTAGATTCAATTTGAATAAAGATGACTTTCCCACATTCCCGGGTGGAAAGACTGACGAAAACACCAAAACTTGGCCCAGTTGGGCGAAAGGCGGAAAACCTGAAGAGAACATATTTGACTGGTTTAAAAAGCAGCTCTGCAAAGTGAAAAACATTTTTACAAAGTCAGCAAAATCCCTAATGGGTAAAATTGAAGTTAGCATGGAAGCAATCGAATACATTTCAAATATTAAATATGAGTTCTAATAACCAAGCTCACGTGACAAATCTGATCGATGCGACGCATTCGTTCTTAAGGATGTCCCTTTTCAATGTAAAAATTTTCAATGTTTTCAATGTTTTCTACAAGAAACTTGAATTAATGAAATTTTTATCGGCACATGATATTGACATTATGTTGATAGGTGAAACTCATCTCAAGCCTTGTGATAAGTTCAAAATCCCAGGTTATAATGTTATTAGAAGCTATAGGCTTAGAACTATCCGCGGAGGTACTGCAGTTGTGATCAAGAATCACATTAAATTCAGCACTATCAGGAAGACGAGATTAGAATACACTGCAATTCTTGCTAGCAGTACGACAAATGAGAATTATCTTATAGTGGCAGCGTACAACCCCCCCCCCCGGAATAACATAAACTTACAGGACTTTGACATTTTAATGCCGACGAATTTCCCTACCATACTTGCGGCTGATCTAAATGCAAAAGAACGCTCCTGAGGCTCCAGGATGGGTAACGGATATATTGTAGACTGCTCAAAAACTATATCTATGCAAATACCTTACAGCTAGTCACCCCAAGTGAATAGATTTTCTACTGTCGAAGCGGCGGAGACATATTGGATATTGCATTACTCAAAAATATTAATCAGACTCCCTACTTAGAAGTAAAAAACGAATTGTCGTCAGACCACTATCCAGTTGTTTTTGATTTTCACGGCTTTTACCCTTACCCTCCAAAGAAACGCACTAAAGTAAATTGGACCAGCTTTACAGATAAACTACGGAACATGTCTTGTAACCCCCATCTAAGAGACTGCGGGGAAATAGAAAGCGAAATTTATTCGCTTACTTCCAAAATTCAAAATGCGATTCAGAGTTCTTCTTATGCATGCAAAGATACCTTGAGGAATATCAAGACGAGTTACTACCCACCGCAGTGGAAACACTCGATAATTATCACCAAACTGAAGCCAGGGAAAAGCCCGTCACTAGCAGACAGTTATCGTCCTATTAGCCTTTTTCCGGCTATCGGGAAAATTTTTAAGAAAGCGTTAAACGATAGAATCACCAACCACCTAGAAAGATTGGATCTGTTAGACCCGGCCCAATTTGGTTTCCGGAAACAACTCAGTACAACTCATCAGGTACTAAATATTGTTGAGGTTATCACAAGAGCTTTTTTCCACAAAACTGGGGTGGCAGCTTGCTTCATAGACCTTGAGAAGGCCTTCGACAACGTTTGGCACGAAGGATTGATTTATGAGCTAAAAACTTTATGTTTCCTGTAAGCCTTGTGAAGTTAATCATCTCCTACCTTCCAGTAGAAGCTCCTACCTTCCAGTAGAAAAGAACCTTCCAGTGCGAGTTGGAAACTCCCTTTCCAGAAGGAAAATTATCGCCAGTGGCGTCCCACAAAAGTCTGTTATTGGCCCAAAATTATTCAACATTTTCGTCACTAACGCGCCCTGGTTTGTTCGAAATAACATCATTCACGCAGGAAAATAAAACCCATTCTTGAACAAATCCTCATGGAGGCGCACAACTTCTTTAAAAAAAATGGATAATTCTCCAGTGCACACGCTAAGAGAACTCCGAAATTATGACCCTACGCTGGATAGCGTAGTGAAGAGACCTCGGTCAATTCACCATAATGCGCGGTGGGGATTTAAATATTGTATGTACTTTTTAATTGTGATCTATTTAACCAATGACTGTGTTATTCCAAAACTGGCGTAATGCCTGGAAGCAGGCTAGAAACTCTGAGTTAATTAGTATGTGTAAAGAATTGTGTATCATATGTTCTCACCACGACCACCGCTGTGGTTCTACTTCTAATTTGCTGCTAGACTGCTACAAAAATTCTCTCAGTAACCTTACGCTACTATCCTGACCGGATGCATCATGCATGGACTTGAATACTGGATGATTTTTTTTTTCTAAGTACTAATTTCCTAATTTTCGTATGTACTGCTTGACTTTGCCGCGGAATGATTGCACCTTGTTTTAATGTCACGCCCCCGGGCGAGGTTCAGTAGCACCTTAATGATCTAAATACCGTGAATGGCATAGGCGGTACAATTTTGAACAGGTCAAAACTCACAGTAGTTGTACACCTGAGGTCAAACAGACCAAAATGCCTAAAAATGCCTACTTGCATCGCTCATCGAAGCATCTAACTGAGATAGTCGGAAAACTGAAACCGACTGATCAAAGCACCGACTGAGATAGTCGGAAAACAACCTGCATTCTTTGCAGGTTAATCGCGGCAAACAGAGGAAGTTGGAGTTGGAGAACCAGTCGTAGTGTAGGGTTGGCGTCTTCTTTTATTATGCAGTTCTTCCAAGCTTTGGTCTCCAAAGGAAGTGTTTTTTGTTTACATCCGGATCTTCCTTGACAGCGCTTTGATAGTGCTTCCAGACAAATCAAAAAGCGAGGACACTTCCGCATAAAGGACACATTCATTGTTGGATGGATGAATAGCAATTTGTATAGTTTAGTGGCATTTACACAAAAATCACATCTTTGTTATTTTTCGATAAGTTGAAACAGCGATTTTGATTATGAATTTGTTTTATAAAATTCGAAGCTACTGGACTCCAAAAATGTATATTTTAGCAAAATTTTTATACTAAGCGTAATGAAGGAAAATTACTTGCCAAATTACCTTTAAAATGCCAAAATATCACAAAAATATAACACTCTTACCTCAGTTTCCTTATAACTAAGTGGTGTAAGCCCAAAAATTTGTATAATTTATGTATTTTTAATTATTTGTATAATGTATGTGTTTGTGAATTTAGATCAATTAGTTGCTTTAACTGTTTTGAAAAATGAAGCAATATTATGCAGAGTAAGGCAATCAAGATTGCTATGTATCCAAAAACGTGTTTTAAGTCAAAAGTTTGAAACTTGAAAGCTAAATGAAAACTTAAATTATGTACGCTAAAATATTCGTATTTAGACACATAGATCAAGATAGGTTAAGATTTTAAATAGGGTAAAGCATGCAAGGGCTGTCTGCTTAAACCGAGAGATGCTTTCATGGAGGAATTTCGAAGGAAAACTGATCTTTGAATGCATACTAAAAACAATGCATGTAATTTTCTTTCAATTAACATTTATACATATTCCTTATACAAAAAATTGTGATTTATGCTAATATATTGTAAATTACTTTACTCGAAAAATATAGTGAATGTGCAGAAATGAAAGATTTGCACACGCCGAAAATGAAAAATATTAAATATGTATGGGTTTGTGCATAGCCATGTAAAAAGCATGTGCTTGCCTTTAACAAAATACGTAAATATTTAATAACGTATTTAGAAATGAAGGGTATATTCATTCATAATCTGTTGTGAATATTATGGTGAAGAAATCTAGTTACTAAGTATATCTAAATTTATAATGATTATAAATATTATCTAATTATAGATAACTTTCACATTTAGTTGCAAACGTAAACTGAAGTTCTATTGACAAATATATTTATAAAACTATTTAGGCAAGAATTGTTCGGTATAGCACAGTCGATGAAATGCGTATTTTAAGGTAGTAATGAAAAATTTT